CCAAGCTGCTGGGAAGAAAGTTAACACTATCCCAGCCGGAACCAGGACACACCCCAGTTCTGAATAGAGGACAGACTGTTAAAATCCTTAAAATGTTGCTGATTAGCTTTTTTTAAAATCTGTTATCTCCCATATTGACTGTGCACTTCAGCTTCCCATTTCCCTCCCTCCCCAGCAGACTCCTAGGCTAGCTGGCATTTTGCATGAGCCTATTCTAGCCAGATGGTGGGATGTCCGGTATCTCCTCTTCTAGAAAACATACGCTGAACTACAACTTTTTGCAAATCTCAATTCCCACAGCCTCTTGCAATGTTTTTGGAAAAAAAATGTGTGTACGAACCAGCCAGGAGTCAGCCGGGCAGCCCTGTCTTAAAACAGGGACAGCTGCAGTTAAACTTTGGAGCTGTTGGAAGCCAAGGGGAGCATTTTAGGGCACAGCTCACTGTGACCTCAGGAGCACTATTGGTAAAATGCTCCACTTCATGCACCATAAATCCCAGCCTGTTGACAAAGCTGGTAAGTTGCAGTTTAACCCGAACTTCTCCTTCCCTCGTTCTTGTCGATGGCGAAAGAGAAGGGGAATGCGCCATCAGCACTTCATGTGGGATGCTTTGAACTTGCGTTGCTCCTGGGCAAGCAGCCGCTCAGACCCACTCTGTGCTTTCTGCACACCCTGCATCATGCTGGGAAACAAAAACCACTGTCCTGGTGTCACAGCTTCCCTACGAAATGTGGAAGTGCATCCAAAACTGTCAGTGACTTTCACAGGATGTAAGCAGTTAAATATCTGGGGTGTGTCAGTGAAGAAATAGTAAATATTAGTATATTATAGAGGGAAATGGATGTGTGTATGGTAAGGACTCAGTTAATTTTACAGTAGCTGGGCTATGTGGCTTGTGACAAGCACTTAGGGAATCAGCCTAATTTTTATAGAAATCCTCCATGTGGGGTGTATTCACTAATTCAGAAATGAAACCCCAAATGCATTCCTAAGAAGGAGCAGGGAGCACACTTGCTGCAGACGGAGGAGAGGATTAAAAGCAAAGATTCCGTTGCATCCTGCTGCCTCCTTATCTGGGGCTGAATGAACATGGAGGAGGACAGTCGGGGATGGGGCTTTCCCCCATCACAGTGTCATGGCACAGGGTGCTGACCCACAGGGAGCCACCCCCTGATGCAGATGGTTTTAGCTGTTGCTGGCTTTGACTGAGAGCGTCCTGTTTTGCCTCCTGTGTCAGCAGGCTGGGACAGTGGCTCTTCTGGGTGCCACAGGGATGTTTTGGCCACCCAGGAGCCCCTGCCACAGCCACCTTTCGCTGCCACGCTGCCCACTTGCTGTTGCCGAAGCCTGGTTGTGAAAGCAAGCAGGTCTGCACAACCCCTTCATCCGAAGCCTTTTACTTGAGGAAAGGGAAAAGCTCAGAGTGAAGCACCCTGAGGTGCTCTTCATTTAGTCTGGTCTGGGATCCAAGAAGTATGCTTTTTCTTTGGGGAAAAATGCTGGAAAAATGTCTATCCCAATGAATGCACATCATTCAGAGCTGTTCTCCCCCAAACAACAACTACATGTACACAGAGTTACGGGAATAAGTTATGGGAATAAATGGTTGCAAAAAATGCAACCTTTTTTTAAAAGATGAATAGCAGTCTATGGTTTAATTCTGGGAAAAGGAAAAAAAAATGTTGTGCTCTGCACGTGTGTTAAGCCTGTAGTTATACCAACAGGGCACAGCTCCTGACCTCCCCCTCCAAGTTACCTCCCACCATTATACTTGCTCACTGCTGACTGCCAATAAAAGCCTCAAGAGTGAGAAAGTTTAGTTTCATCTTCCCCAGAGCCTCTCTGTGCAGGGCCCCGGCTCGCAAGGAAGCCTGCACTGACAGAGGCTGCTCGCCAGAAGGTTAGTTCTCTTAAAGCATGGAAATAGTAAAAAATTGTTAGCCTGGGAACAGTGGGATAATAGTGCAAAAGTAGAGATTTTTTTTTTTCCTGCTCAGCATATAATTTAAAGCAAAATATATGGCACATCCTTCTTGGGGAAGGGGGGAGGCTTTTAAAAAGTTATGCACAAAAGCTGGATTATGGAGAGGTTACTTCTTCTTTGCTGCTTTCTCCTGCTACCAGAATTGTATAACTGCGTTAAAGGAATCTGGCTGGTACTTTGCGCTGTGTTTAAATTGGGCTCTCTCTTGTCTATATGGATGCTCAAGACCAAATTCCGCTTAGCAAGGCTGCTTAGCTGTATGTGTTTGCTGGTAGGCTCAGAGGATGTGCTGGGTGTAGCTGCTGTCCTGCCAGAAGCTTGGGTGTCAGTTGCTTTTATTTGTTGCTGCCTGGTCTCCCTGGGTATTTGCTTGTCCTTTTCAATGGGGTGTGCTATTGGTGACAAGAGCATCTTAACGTTGCAATCTCTTCATTAACGTTTGCTGCTAAGAGAGAAGAAAGTATGTGAATAATACTCGTATACAGAATACTGTGCATTTGTAAAAGTGTAGAAAGTAGAAAGATTTACCATGTGTTGGTAGTATTGCTGTGGGTCGGCAGAGGGAAGTGCTTGGAGGCAATGCATGCTCACAGTTTCCTTCTGGACATATACTTGATACTGCCTCTGGCTGCATTCATGCCGGGCTTGCAGGCTGGCGTGTGCTGCCAGGTGAAGCCAGGAGTGGGATTTCTGGAGGAGCACATGTTGCCCCAAAGGGTGGAGAGGGATGGTGGCCCCCCGCCGCCTGCCCCAGCATCGCCCACTTCATTTCAGTTTCTGTTCTGGCTTCTGAGCTCAAGAGCTGCATGGGGAGGAGCACACCCAGCAGCATGGTTCTGCCTTTGCCAAGCTACTATTTCTAAGAAGAAAAAAAAACGAAACCAACCACAATTTGTAGCAAAAAGTCTCAACAAATGTGAGCATGCAGTTTATCTTTTTTTTTTTTCTTCTCCTTCCTTCTATTTGTGCATAACTAGAAGAACTTGGCCTCAGGGCAAAACCTGCTTTTAATTGTTATCTGAGAATGTTTTGTGCTGTCTTTTAGTTGGCTGGGAGAATAGGAGCACTGAGATTATTGTGGGTTTTTTTTAGACCTGAGGTTTACTGGTTTTCAAGGTTTACTTGCTTGCTTAACTGCAGGAAGGCAAGGACTGGGGTTCAGACTTGGGACATAGCATTGAGTTTCTGCCTTTCTGGCTATCTAAGACAAGAAACCAGAGATACTAGTTTTCTACAGTATCTCTCTTGGCGTGGAGCCCAGCTTTGTTAGAGGAAATGCAAGACCACAGCTGCTTCCTGCATGCTTTCTACCCATGCCAAAGGGATCTTGTGTAAAATATGCCAACTTCAACAACCAAAATGTCCGAGTCACTGGCTTTAGTGTAGGTTCACTCCCCAGCCCTGCTTGGCACAAGGGAAATTGGTGAACTGTGCACTAGCGAAGCCTTTTTGGGGTGGAGTGGGGAACGTCAATGGCCTGATGCTGTTTTGAAAGCTGGATAAAATGGAAGAAAATGCAAAAACCTTGAAAAGACACAAATACAGGTAAGATATGGTTACGCTTCTTCACCTCCAGCGGCAGTAAGGGAGCTGGGCGAAATGCCGCCTGCTGAAGAGTGGTGATGACCAGCTCGGTTGGGGAGATCAGACCGACCACAGTTTTTTCACTAAATGTCCCATTCCCCTCCCGTCTCTTTCAGAAGAGCATCTAGGAATGGCTGCCCCGACCATCGTGACGATCCAGCCACAGCAAGGCATGGGCATGCCCGCTGCCTCGAGGAGCATATGGCAGACAGGGCTGATGGACTGCTGCACCGACTGCAGCGTCTGTGAGTGCCTCGGGAGGTCCCATCTCTCAGCCGTCAGCAGTGACGTGCTGTGGTCGGTCCCACACCCTCATGGGACACTTTTATCATCCCTGCTGCTCGGGTCGGTGGTGTGATAGCTACAGCCACGTAGCCTGATCCTCCCAGTTGCTCCTCCAATGCTGGCAGTGCTGGGCGGGCAGGCAGAGCCTCACCTGCTGTTGGGTTTCTCCCCCTGACAGGCTGCTGCGGGATGTTCTGCTTCCCCTGCCTTGCCTGCCAAGTGGCCGGGGACATGAACGAGTGCTGCCTGTGCGGGACCAGCGTGGCCATGAGGACCCTTTACCGTACCAGATACAACATCCCGGTCAGTGGTTAACCCGCCCCCTCACCATGCTGTGAGGCTGAAAGGCAAGGTGCCCCCGAGGCCCCTCTCTCTGCACATCAGGAATGAGCATGGGGCAGCAGCGCTCTCTGCTCACCATTTTTTTCACTTTCATATCCTGCATGATGCTGGGAGCACAGGACAGGGGTTGGGACACCCTCGGCCGTGCTGATCCCAGGGCTGGTGTCCATCAACACGTGTTGATCAGACACAGCTCCCTCCCAGCACCCTTCACCAGGGGCACATGTCCTGCCTTCAGCTGCTGCTGAGTGGCTCGCAGAGCCTCGGCTGCTGCTTCCCCATGCCATCCTCAATCTTTGAAAGATGGGAAAGATTTGAGATGATTGTGAGCAGACTAAAGAATAGATTAAGTAAGTTGCACAGATAAACATCTGTAATCAGATGTGGGAGAAAGGTGGACATTCGCATACAGCATATACGTGAAATGGTTTCTTCCCACCAAGGGTTAGTGCTGTCCCCAGTGCAAACCATGGAGGCCCAAGTCCAGTTTGCCCAATTTATCTCTTTCTGTGTGCTTTTTTCCCTCCCATCTTAACCTCAGAAGCCAAAAGAGAAGTAGCTATCTGCAGCTTGCAGAAAGGGTTCCCTCCTTTCTTTCCACTGTGGGGAAAGTAGTGTCTGCTACTCGGGATGCTGCAGCCAGCCAGGAAACAACGGGCACACACGTGGAATGTGATTAACATTTTCTTGGCCGAAACATGGCTTTTGGGAAGCCTCCATCCCTAACTGATTTCTTCCTACAGGGGTCCATTTGCTCTGACTACTGTGTCACCATGTGGTGCCCCGTATGCTCCGTTTGCCAAATTAAGAGAGACATCAACCGGAGGAGGGAGATGGGCATATTCTGGTAAGCTGGGTGTGCTGGTGGTGGTGCTGGTTTATAAAGCTGCCACTGCACACAGCCAAGGGGCTTCCTGGAGTCTCTCCTGCCAACGCCTGATGTAAGACACAGGGTTGCTGCAGTGGGGAAATGGCCATGGCCAGGTGACAAGAATGACCTGTCCGGCAGCAAAATGTTGGTGGGAACCTCATGCAGGCCAGGGGGTAGAAGGACTGGGGGGGGGGACACACGGTGTGGTGAGGCACAGCCCTGCTCCCTGACCTTCCTCTCCCATCCTATTGTAGATGCCACCATCTTTGCTGCGCCCTGCGGAGCCGCTGTGGGCAGGAGTCACTGCTGCCCTGGCTGTTGGGAAATGCACCACGGGGGTTTTGCCTTGATTGTGGTTGGTTCCCCCTCCCCTGGGTAACACCAGTAATAAACAGCAGAGTTTGCCTTCTTGCCTGTGTGTGTGTCACTCTTGCACCACCTGAGAGCACCCATCCTTCTCCCGCTCCATCTGTCTCAGCAGGCCCTGGGGCAGCTGAGATTTCCCTGCACCCACTGCAGAGAAAGATTTGCACTGGTATTTTGTAGTTCGGTCAGCTTTTAGAAAGGGTGTTTAATACATAGGAGGAGTCGGTGTTGCTCATCCAAATTGTAAAATTTGGAAAAGTGACTTCTGCTCCAGGGCAGAGCTGGGGCTTCCCACAGGCAGGTGATGGCTGCAGGCCACTGAGTGCCGAGTTGTCACTGCTGTGGTCGCCTGGTTGGCCGTCCTGGGCTGCTGGCCAGTCCCACCTTCCTGAACATAAAGCCACTGGGATTTTTGGCTGCCTGGCACCAGCCCACCTCCTGCGTTGCTCCCCTACGGACCCTGGGCATGAATTCCCACCCACTCGCGATTAAAAACCTGGCTGGGTCGTGGGTTGGCCAAGTCCTCTCCATGGGCAAACCCTGCCGCCTCCCGGCCTCGGCCAGGCAGAGCATGCCTGCCTGTGCTGGGCTGTTAGCGATACGCTTTCCGTCCAAAAGGTGGAGGTTACATCCACCCTCTCTCCATCACCCTCAGAGAGATGCTAAAGGACTTTTGATCCCTACAAATCTCCCCCAGCTTCACCCTCTAAGGAAATCATGGTATTTTTTTCCCCTCTCCCTTCACCTTCACCACAAACCTTGTAACGAGCAGGTAGAGGCTCTGTCAGTGCTGTGGGGTGGGTCTGCGTGGTGGCACTCCCACCTGCTTAAACCCTAGGTGGCCCAGACAGTCCTGCGGATGATCTCTGCGTTTTTAGCCTAAGAGAGGTAAAGGCCAGGAATGTGGAGAAGGGAGAGGAGAAATACCACGTTACCGCCTCATCCCAGCACAGAGTGGTATGATTTTGTAGCTATACCTCGAGGCAGCGCCTGTGTCACCCAGTGGAGTTATAGTCTGTTCTTGCTGATGCTCAGGCTTAATGAAGGAAAGGTGCCGCACCTCCAGCAGCAGATCGCTTAAGGCAGCGCAGGAGCCTGAACGCAAACTGTCCTTCTCTGAAAACCGCTACCAAACGCAGTGTGTCCCATCGGGGCTCTAGGCCTGAGGGATGATGGGGTGGGGAAAGGTGACAGGGGCAGCAGGAGCCTGGCAGAAGCAGCAGCAAGCTTGCAGCAAGCTTGCAGCCAGCAGCGGGGAAGCTGCAGTTGCGCAAAGCAGCACCTAAGCCGGCGCCTGGTCTGTTAGTCAGAGGGAGCAGAGATTGTTCACCAGGGAGCACCCAGAGCCTATAAAAGATGAGAACCAGGAAAAGAACACGTCTCCCAGGACAAGGGCAGCTCAGCCGGTGAGTATGGCTTGGCTTTGCTTCAGAAAGAGCTGCGGAACAAAACTATGGAAACTTCTTGTGGCTGAAGCGGTGTTGCTGGCGAAGGGGAAGGGGTGGAAACAGAGGTGAGGTTTTCTACCTGGAAAACTACTTCAGAGCTAAACCAGAGCGTGCTGGGTGCTGCTGACAGGCATCTCAACAGAAGTGGGCAGCAGAGGTAAAGGACGGCAGCTTTTGCACTGTATTATTTATTTGTGCACATATACATATGTCTATACATAACAAAATGCTCTTTACGACCTCGGTTATTTGTGAAACATGGCTGCGTGCACCTGAGGATCTGTTTTGTTCCCGTCAGCCATTCCAACACCCCTGGTGGTGCTGTGGAGCTGTAGATTTGGGGGCACCTGGGGTGATGTGCTGGGTGTGCTGGGCCCGGGCCAACTCTCAAGAGATGAGCGATGCTCCGCATCGCAGCCTCCATCTGCGCAGGGACATGGTGTGCTCGTACTCGGGCAGAGGAAGGGAAAGTCAGTGGTCAGCCCTGCCTGCAAAGGGCACAGTGTGTGTGTGGTGGTGAGCATCGCTTGGCTGCATTTTCACCATGCGCTGCTCTTAAGCTCGTTATCTGGCGGTGCAGGAGCACCTCCTTTGTCACGGGAAGCTGGTGGCGTCCTGCCCCCAAACCTTCTCCTACCACTGCTCCCGCACACACTTCTCCCTGTGGTCCCTGCGGTCCTGCCTGCTGCTGGGCATCCCTGTCCCTGCATGGGACCCCCATGCTGTCCCTTCCTGGCATCCCCACTGCATGGCCTGTCCGTGGTCTGTCCCCTCCCCTGCCCCTCCTGGCTCCTGCTTCTTCTTAAAGCATCCTGTGCCCAAGCTCCTCACAGGGGCTGCTGTTTTGACGTGCTATGAGGTGTTGCATTGGCTGCAGAGGTGGTGGGAATTACCTGGGGCCTCATGCATGAACAAGCAGGGACAGCCGGCCAGGGCAGGGGCAGGAGGTGTCCGGCGAGGGCCAATGGGCGCCATGGCCCCTGCTGCACCCATGGGTGGTGGGGTTGCCTGCACTTGCTCCAAAGGTCCCTGCCAATAGCCAGGTGACTTGCCCCCGAGAGGGCACAGCAGCGTTTTTGCTGCTCAACAGCCCTGTTCAGTAGCAGCAGTAAAACACCCTTGTCTGTTAACCCTCGGCAGGGGCTGGTGGCTGAAGCAATCCCACCAGCTGTCAGTTCGCCCTTCATGGCGACTTGTCACCTAATGGGAGCAGATACCAGAGTCTCAGATAGGGTCAGCCCAGCCACGCTTCCGCTGCCTGCGGAAAGCTGCAAAAAGTCATGAGCAAATCACGTGGAGACTTTTTACAAGCTTTCTTCCCTCTTACAGCGTAATTCAACATCCCATTTCCTCTCTGTGTACTACCAGGGGACAAGGGTGGGCCATATGGCAACAGGCGGTGTCTAACAACAGAGATGTGTCCGGGCCAGTCTGTAAATGATGGGGTGCAGCAGGAGCTGCCAGCAGAGCCACTGACCCCTTTGCCGCCTGTTGATAACAGTCAATACAAATGCAATGCCACAGCCTGTATCTCTCTGGTGTCGGATGTGGGTAACACGCTCGATGGCATCATCTGAGTGCTGGGCATAGTAATACATTTATTCCACCGTATTCCTTATGTTCAATACTTAAACCCTGTGTAGATGTGTAATTCTGATGTGAAAATGTTCCCTTTATAGCGTGTCAACAGAATTTACAGGGATTAATGCCATCATCCCTTGCTTCAAAACATAAATGCTTCCCCTGTTTTTCTTTTTGCTCCTCCCAGCATCCTGAAACTCAGGCGCTCCCTTGTCACACAAGGGCAGGGAGCCCCAGGGAAGGGAGGGGAGGGGAGGGCTGCTCGGGCGGGCACCCACCCGGCCATCACCCAGACAGGCAGTGGTGCTGCGCAGGCAGGACAAACGTGTCAAAGCTGGGCAGGGGCAGGCAGGACACAAACTGACCGAAGGTGCTCTGTTGAACACCCCTAATGCCCATCGTGGAAATGCCCGTGGGCTGTGCGGGGACGTGGCGGCTGGGGGGGGCCCCCCCCGGGGGGTCCGCCGGGG